AGCTCTGTTAGATTGCAGAATCACGTGTATATACATAATACATAAAAGGTGTTCGGTCAAATTATTGGTCTTCAGAGCGTCAGTAAGTACGTCATAATCATGTGTATATAAATTCAGAAGCAATTCTATTGGTTTACATGTTTTTATAGCTGCAGAAGGTGAACGATGATTACCTATTTACAAACACCTAGAGGTAGTCATGTTAGACTACTTATCTTGATAGCTGCAGTAGGTACACCGTAATCTCGAGTAAATACACGCCTTAAATCAGTTGTTTTTGGTTATATGTCTTAATAAATTAATAGGGTGCATCATAATCATATGCACCTAGACACATAGAAGCACTTCTGTTACATTATATGTCCTTATAGCTGCAGATTGTACAGAACCACGTGTATGTAGACACCTAAGGGCATTTCTATTAGATTACAAGTTTTGGTAGCCCTAGTAGGTACACGAGAGTCACTTGTATATAGACACCTAGAAGTAGTTCTGTTATATTACATCTCTTGACAGTTGCAATAGGTACACCATGATCATGTGTTTATGGACATGTAGGAGTAATTCTGTTAGATTACCATTCTTAAAAGCTGCACAAGATAAGCCATAATCACGTGTATATAAATACGTAAAAGGTGTTCTGATAGATGGCGAACGTACACCATTATCACGTGTATATACATACATAAAAGTTATGTAAAAGTTTCGTGGTGACACCTGCAGAAGGTACACCATATACACGTGTATATAGACACCTAAGCGAAGTTCTGTTAGATTACATGTCTTGATAGCTGCAGAAATCAAACTGTAATCACATGTTTATACACATGTAGAAGCATTTCTTTTAGATAACATATCTTGATAGCAGTAGTAGATACACCATCATCTCGAGTATATACACACCCAGAAGCAGTTATGTTATGTTATATTACATGTCTTGATAGCTGCGGTACGTACACCATAAACATATGTATATAAATACGTAGCAGACGTTCTGATAGATTCTCAGTCACGAGGTCAGGAGCAGATACACCATAATCACGTTTTGTCAGATGAGTGGTCTTGATAACTGCAGTAGCAACATCTTGTACACCGTATTTATGGGCTCCTTGGAGCTATTCTATCAAATTTCCGTTCTTGATAACAGCACTAGGTACACCATAATCACGTGTTTATAAACATCTAGAAGTAATGTTTTTAGAATCCCAGTCAAGATAGCTGCAGAACGTACACCATAATCACATGAAAATAAATACGTAAAAAACGTTCTGTCAAATTAACAGTCATGACAACTACAATAGTTACACAAGTAAAGACAAAACTTTTCAAAAAAGGAATTACATGTGGAGATGGTTAATAACAATCCTTCAAAAACAATGCAAGCAAGATAATAGATTTGCATCGTCCCTACATAATTGCACAGGCACACAGTGTAGTAGAATGTTAACAACAAAAATTGGATAAATTAAAGTCAATTATGATTGAATAGTTATACATATTGCTGTAAGTTAATTTTTGCACAACTAAAGAAAAAAAAATCAAAAATGGAAGTTAGTGTAGGGATGGCTAA